CAGAAGGAATAGGAGGGCCCGGCTCGTGGAGCTTACAATATGAAGGAAGGGGGAGGGGATACAAAAGGTGATGGCTGCGGGGGATGATCTGGTGGAGGTGATTCAAGTACAGTTCTTAGGTGGGGGTGGGGTAGGCTTCCCTGAAGAAGTGAGTTTTCAAAGATCGCCTAAAGGCAGATAGGGTGAGGGGCTGACCATACATACAGTGGTAGGGAGTTCCAGAGGATGGGAGAGGCTCTGGAGAAGTCCTGGAGTGTTGAGTGTAGGAGGAGGTGACGAGGGAGCTAGAGAGCAAGATATTGTGGGAGGAGAGGAGCCAGCGATATCTGTGGATGAGGTTGGTGATGTAGCCGGGGCGGTGTTGTGGATGGTTTTGTATGCTGTGGTTAGTAATTTGAATTTTATATGTTGGGTCGTTAGTGGAAGACAATGAAGGGATTGGCAGAGAGGGGTGGAGAACACTGAGCAGAGGCCAGTGTGAAGGGACTGGGATGGAGAGAGGGGCTGATTGGCAGTCACTGATTGGTTGGTAAGGTGTATGATGAGTCTAGCGGCAGTCGCTGATTGGTTGGTAAGGTGTATGAGTCTAGCAGCAGTCGCTGATCGGTTGGTAAGGTGTATGAGTCTAGCGGCAGTAAGGTGATCGGTTGGTAAGGTGATGAGTCTAGCGGCAGTCGCTGATCGGTTGGTAAGGTGTGATGAGTCTGCGGCAGTGATGAGCTGATCGCTGATTGGTTGGTAAGGTGGATGAGTCTAGCGGCAGTTGCTGATCGGTTGGTAAGGTGTATGAGTCTAGCAGCAGTCGCTGATCGGTTGGTAAGGTGTATGAGTCTAGCAGCAGTCGCTGAAGGGTTGGTAAGGTGTATGAGTCTAGCAGCAGTCGCTGATCGGTTGGTAAGGTGATGAGTCTAGCGGCAGTCGCTGATCGCTGATCGGTTGGTAAGGTGTATGAGTCTAGCAGCAGTCGTTCTGATCGGTTGGTAAGGTGTATGAGTCTAGCGGCAGTCGCTGATCGGTTGGTAAGGTGTATGAGTCTAGCGGCAGTCGCTGATCGGTTGGTAAGGTGTATGAGTCTAGCGGCAGTCGCTGATCGGGTAAGGTGTATGAGTCTAGTAGCGGCAGTCGCTGATCGGTTGGTAAGGTGTATGAGTCTAGCAGCAGTCGCTGATCGGTCGCTGATTGGTAAGGTGTATGAGTCTAGCAGCAGTCGCTGATCGGTTGGTAAGGTGTATGAGTCTAGCAGCAGTCGCTGATCGGTTGGTAAGGTGTATGAGTCTAGCAGCAGTCGCTGATCGGTTGGTAAGGTGTATGAGTCTAGCGGCAGTCGCTGATCGGTATGGTAAGGTAAGGTGTATGAGTCTAGCAGCAGTCGCTGATCGGTTGGTAAGGTGTATGAGTCTAGCAGCAGTCGCTGATCGGTTGGTAAGGTGTATGAGTCTAGCAGCAGTCGCTGATCGGTTGGTAAGGTGTATGAGTCTAGCGGCAGTCGCTGTAAGGTGTATGAGTCTAGCAGCAGTCGCTGATCGGTTGGTAAGGTGTATGAGTCTAGCAGCAGTCACTGATCGGTTGGTAAGGTGTATGAGTCTAGCGGCAGTCGCTGACGGTTGGTAAGGTGTATGAGTCTAGCAGCAGTCGCTGATCGGTTGGTAAGGTGTATGAGTCTAGCGGCAGTCGCTGATCGGTTGGTAAGGTGTATGAGGTAAGGTGTATGAGTCTAGCGGCAGTCGCTGATCGGTGGTAAGGTGTATGAGTCTAGCGGCAGTCGCTGATCGGTTGGTAAGGTGTATGAGTCTAGCGGCAGTCGCTGATCGGTTGGTAAGGTGTATGAGTCTAGCAGCAGCATTTCATAATAGACTGAAGGGGGATAGCCTGTGTAACGGTAGACCAGTGAGGAGGGAGTTGCAGTAATGGAGGCGGGATATAACCAAGGCGTGGATAAGTTGTTTTGTGGTGTCATTGGTCGGGAAGGGGCAGATTTTGGAAATGTTCCAGAGGTTGAGGCGGCAGGATTTAGCCAGTGAGTGGATGTGGGGCCCAAAGGAGAGGTCATAGTCTAGGATTACACCTAGCACCCTGGCATGAGGGGAAGGACCAATGGTTGTTGTTGTTGATCTTGATGGTAAAGTCGCGAGCTGGGGATCGGGGGGAGGTAATATTACAGCTCGGTTTTGGAAAGATTGAGTCTAGGTAGTGAGTGACATCCCATGCTGATATGTGTCGCTCAGTAGATTTGTGATACGGGAGGAGATTGAGGGGGTGAGCTGGGGAGTGGAGACATAGATCTGGGTGTCATCAGCATAGAGGTGGTATTGGAAGCCATGGGAGGTTATCAGTTGGCCAGGGGGAGGTATAGAGAGAGAAAAGGAGGGGCCCAAGAACAGAACCTTGGGGTACCCCAACAGAAAGAGGAAGCGGAGCGGAGGAGGAGGAGTTGTATGTGACACTGAAAGTGCGCTGAGAAAGGTAAGAGGAGAACCAGGAGAGAGCAGAGTCATGGAGGCCAATGGAGTGGAGTGTACTGAGGAGGAGCGGGTGGTGCACTGTGTCAATCTATAGTCACTTGATTCTGAAGAACAGCTTTTTACGGGTTCCTTGGAGGTCGAGCAACAGTTCCTGCAAAGCCATAGAAGTATGATTCAGACTTTTTCCCAGACTACATGCTAAAGCATTAACAGTTCTACTAACATTTATAGGGAACGTTGATCCCGGGAATATCCGATTGCCTCTCGGGGGATCAGGGAGGAATTTTTTTCCCCTGCAGGAGCAGATTGGATCGTGCTTTGCTGGGTTTTTTTTTTCCTTCTCTAGATCAACTGTGGGTGTAGGGATATAACTTTTTTTTTTTAATGGTTGAACTGGATGGACTTTTGTCTTTTTTCAGCCAGACTAACTATGTAACTATGTTCTTGTGTTATATAATGGTAATGCTGGTCCTCCTACAATAGATCCAACTAAACTAGTGTATTCAGCTTTGGAAAGCAGTGTGATGTCTGATATACAATCTTCTGATCCAATCTCGGTCCTCCTTCTTGATCTTAGATCCTTCTCCATAGCTTTAGGATGCTCAGGCAATATCATACTCAGACGGCTCCAAGTACAAGGCCCTCCAGTAATATTCCTGGAATATATGAATATGTGGGATTTCCACAAGAAAACAACCATCCTAAAGGTAGTGTGACCTGCTGACTGTGGCTGGCTGGGCTGTGATAGAACATGATGACAGCTCATTGGGTTATGTACTGAACTACATGTTCTATTAGACGTACAGAAAATCCTGTCCTGAGGAGATCGGGTTGTGTGATGTGGGCCATATGGAAATCTGAGATCCCAACACCGGGGAATCTCTTCAGAATCACATGTCATATTGTAACACATCTCCTGGGGGAACATTCAACGTTTTCATACCAGTCATATATTCCCAGCCTTTATATGGACCTGGACAGTTCTGACAGTCCTCATACAATGACATAGATGGTCCATCATCCATTCTTACATCAGTATCATTAGTCATTACTCTGAAAATGTCCAACAAAACCGAGGTTGGGGTGGGAATGGCCATCAAACATGTAGCTAAATGATCGGCAGCATCTCTGACAGATGGAAATTGGGAACATTCATCACTCTCCTTGCCATATAAACCCAGACATTCTCTGGTTGCTTTAACAGTTCACGTGGATGTCTGTGTTGGGGCAAGGGGTCAGTCTTTTGGGGCTGCAACATCCCCCCTGGTAAGGTGACCCCCATGTTGTGGACATGTGGCCTGGTATGGATCAGGAGGGGGGGCACACTACAGCCCCCCTCTGCACTCTGTATGGTGGGCTGTATATGATATACTGCTGACCCCCGCACTCTGCGCCGTTATTGAAGGGTGTGAGGTGTCACCGAGGAGCAATGTTCTATATTGAAGTTTGCCGTCATTGCACCGACACACACAATAGTTTTTGTTCAATAAATGTTTTATTATAATTTTACATTTAACAAGATTGAAGCATAAAAATCAGGAAATAGTAAAGGAAGGAATCCGATTGGTCAGGAAGATCCCTTGTCTGGAATGTGTCGGAGTATTATTGGTGTACAATACAATACACAACGTGTTCCATTATTATAACAAAGTATTGTAGAAAAGATCCCAACATAGAAAAAAAAGGAGGAAATAAAGGCGGAATGAAGGGGAATCTGTGTACGGGGAACACCTTAACAATCACCACCAATTTCCAGGGCCTCTGATTCACAGAATAGATGTTTGGGGGTTTATCTCATCTTCAGGACCAAAATCTGCATTTTCCCATGTGTGCAAAATCATGTGCAGTGCAGTGAGAGGGTTAATGTGGGCTAGATGGGATCCCTCTGCTGGGGTGACATTAGAGCTCCCCCTAGCTGCAGCCTGGTAATAACATTGCTGGGAGGTCTATTCATTTCTCTGCTCCATACTTCCCGTCTTTTTAGAAACGTCTCCTGACATTTGGGGGTCTATTCATAGAATGTTTGTATAGCAATTCCCTCAGTGAGAGTTCATGTCCATTCCTCCTGTGTGAATGGGGGAACCAATGTTATTAGGATCACATCTGAGCTGCTGGAATGTCTTCCATTGATGGAAAATACATTGAAAACTTCTTCTCCTGCCATCAATGGCCGACCGGTCCCACACTTCATCCATGTCTTTGGGGGCCTCTGATCTCCTTATGAACTGTTTCTTCCATGATGAAGATCAGCCATGGAGTATATCTGAGGTGTATATCAGGGTGTGCTTCTTCCCCACATGAGAGCTGGGATGTCCAGCAACATTCATCTAGAAGACATTTCCCGCACTCAAGGCACTAATACACCTCCAGGGTTGTGTGGGACCCCTGATGTACAGGAAGACAGGACTTCAGTGAGGAACATTTCCCTCTCAGGGCAGGAAAGTGGCTTCTTCCTGTGTGACATCTCTGATGAATGCAAAGATTTGACTTCACTGAAAAACATTTCCCGCACTCAAGACAGGAACACGGATCTCTTCCATGTGAGATCTCTGATGTCTGTTAAGATTGGACTTCTGTGAAAAACATTTCCCGCACTCATGACAGGAATACGGCTTTTCCCCCGTGTGAGATCTCTGATGACTGGAAAGATGAGACTTCTGTGAAAAACATTTCCCACACTCTGGACAGGAATATGGCTTCTCCCCCGTGTGATATCTCTGATGTTTGTAAAGATCATACTTTCGTGAAAAGCATTTCCCACACTCAAGACAGGAATATGGCTTCTCTCCTGTGTGAGTTATTTTATGCACATTAAGATGGGATTTAAAAAATGGAAACCTTTTCCCCTGTGTGAGACTTTTAGTACAGGAGAAGCTCTTCCCCCTGTTGGAGAACCTCTTCCCTGTTGGAAGGCCCGGTCCCGCACAGTCTGAGGTTCCTCAGGATACGAGGAATCCGATGGTCCATCTACACTGGGTGGTGCCGGATGGACATTGGAGGGAGCCGGGTTTTCTCCTGGACTATACTGTGTGATGTCCTCATCTTCTACTTTCCAGTCTGGAGACAAAGTGAGACAATCCTCGGAGGTTTTCCTCATCTCCCGGCCATGGACTAAAATACAAAGACAAAGAGGATTACTAGACAGGAGCTGATTGGTTCCCCCAAACCAGGACTCCGCCCACATCAGGCAGCTTGGTCTCTGAGGAGCTTACAATTCCACCCTCAAGGGAACTAGGAAATGGCTCCTCTGATCTCCTACCAGGTCATTTCTTTATTCATGGACCTTAGTCAGAGAGTGAGGAAACAACCAGAACTGTCTTTTATATAGGAGGGACAGTGATGAGGGGATTATAGGACGAGGGTCCCCACCCCCTCTATCACTCATCGCCATCTTCCCAACACAAGAAGTACTGCACTTCCTTATTTAGTCCATGATTTAGTCATGAAGAACAGCGGGGCTGAGCCCCACCAGAGGTCAGAGAGTGAGGATGGGGGGAGAACAACCAAGATGAAGACTGGACTGATCCTGAAGACCACCATCATTGGGGTATTGACTCCTCCCTCATTATCACTTTCTGTTTAAGGGTCCAAAGTTGGAGGATGTTATCACATTATTATCACCATGTAAAAGTCTGTGCTCCAATCACATCATCCGATAT